CTAGCGGGGTCCTTGTCCTTTACACCGTCCTGGATGGGTCCGTGGCTTGGACATCCGTTGGGGTGTGCTGGGCTCAGCAACACCAGGAGCACCAGCCAGGGTATTAAAACATGGAATTGCAGTGGGTTTGAGCATCAAGAGCACTTTTAGCCCAGCACCACTGTCCGATGGCATGGCACGCCCCTGGAGAAGTGCTTTTACCAGTGAGGGCTCCAGCGCGGCTCAGATACACGAAGCTGAACCAGAAACAGCACGTTATTTTACCAAGAAACGGCCCAAAGACACAATTTGCCACGATATTGAGCCCAGCGGGCAGGAGAGATCCCTCCCTCTGCTTTAACGAGGACTTTTAAGAGGTGGACGGAATGACCCAGATTATCTCCGCGAGGGACAGCAATTACCGTCCTTCTTGGCAGGCTCGGCAGAGCGGCCAGGGCCGGGTGAGCAGGCAGAATGAGCCGCTGGTTTATCCCTGGTGACCGCTGAGCTTTGGTCCTCTGCCTTTCGCTGCAAAGATTTTGGGGGATTTAGGGTGATGCCCCGTGACGGCCGATGCCCAGGGTCCACGTAGTATAGAGCCGGAGGTGGCACCGCACCGCACGCAGGCCCGACGCTGTTTTTTAATGGGGAGGATGAAATCTGGGAGCTTCACAACCGCTTGACTTGTGAACTTTGGGTAAGAAGAGAAGCCGTTCCAGGGGTGAGCTCATTTCTAACCCCGGGAAATGACTTCATGGACGCTGGTATTTACTCACAAAAACATCGCATGTCAGATGTCCCTGACTAGACTTTCTGTTTCGAGTCCAGTATGAGACAAAAATTTCCTTGGACGAGCTGCTGCTGAGACAATTCAGGGCTTGGAGGAGAAGAAGAATTGGAGGGGGAAAAAAAAAAGTCAGCATTAGAAACTCTGAAATCTTGAGGTTTTTCTGAGCAAAGGGGAATTTTTGGACAACTGGGCTGGCAGAAGCACCTGCCTGGGGTGATGGTGCTGGGGCGAGGGTGCAGGTGTTGGGTGCTGCTGTGGGATGGCTCTGCTCGAAGAAGAGCTGTCATTGCTCCCCCCATAATACCCAGCAGCAGGAGTTTCTCTCAGAGGTGAAAAGTTTTTCTCTCTTTTGTGAAGCCAGAACCCCGACGGTGATTTATTAGGATAAATGGCAGCAGGTTCCCTGCCCCGCATTTGCACTTGGTTAATGGAAATTACATCCCGTGCCACCTTCCCTGCACGAGATCCCAATTTATACGGGATGGCCGATGGAAAAACAGCACTTGTACTGCTGTTCAAGGTCTGCTCGTGCAAAAAAATGCCACCGAGGCTGTGCTACCTGTTGTGGCTTTCTGGTTTCTCCGGCATCCTGGGATGGTCTGTATGGACTTGGGGAGAAAAGTCCTATTTGGGGAGCCTGGAGATGCTCTGACTCCCCGTGACCCAGCGCTGGGCTGCAGCTCCGGGGATGTTCCGGGGCAGCATCCCAAAAGGAGGGGATTTCGGAAAGAGCCGAGCCAGGGTGTATGGAAACAAGCCCTGCCTGCCAGCTCTGTTTCCTAATCCCGGGGACCAGAAACCTCTGATCGTTAAACCAGTGTTCAGAGATTCGGCTGAAGGCTGCTGAGCAGACAACATCCAAGCTGACCTTTGAGGAGACAAGCAAAAAAAAAAAGAGAAAACACAAGGGGTTTACTGTGCAAACGCCAGAGCAAAATAGTCATTTTAAGAAGGGACCCCACCCTCAAAAGAAGACTTATTGCTAATGCATGCCCAGGACATTTCTGTGTGATGGCATGCTAAAAAAATCCTCTCTGAACAGGGACCAAAGGCTTTGTTGTGGCATGAGCAAGGCTGACGGTTCCGAAGAAAAATCCTGTCCCTCTCTTACATCATACAGTCCGGGACGGAGAGGACATTTCTAGACAAAAAGGCAACCAGCCAGCAAGGAGGACAAACAGGGAATACATTCCTGACTCGCTATTTAATTGCTTTCATGCAGGTGCAAAGAGCTAAATGAAAGGAAACATAAGGATGAGCATGTGGGGCCGAATAAATTTCGGCTTTAAGCAGGAGTCTAGCACAAGCAGGAGGCGGCTGCTGTGATAAACGGGCTTCCACCCAACTTCTGTGTGGTTTCTGTGTTTCGTTTTCCCGCAGGGACCAGGCTCGTTCCAGCAGCGCTGGTGGGCGATGCCTTGGCCAGGTAAGGAGGTGATGGGGACGGTCCCCCCGTGCATGGTGGGGGTGCCCGCTGGGTGCCTGCCCTCCCGCACTGCCGGGGCTGGGTCTGCTTTTCTCTTTCCCCTCAGATGTAAAGCACTTTTAAAGCATAGATTGCCCTCTGCGGCTCCGAGCAGAGTTCCCAGCCCGGTCCCTTTCGGTGGCAGAATGCAGAAGCGATGGGGGGTTTAGGGGACGCTGATGGACAGGGATGCCTCAAGCGCTGATGCGGTCCAGCAGCTGCAGCATCTCTTGGGTCTCGGGATCCGGTCTCTCTGCCATGCAATTTGACTCTTCAACCTGCAAAGGGGGGGAAAAAATCCTCCTTTTTTGCTGTAGCCAGGAGCACTCCTGCAAGCAGAGCAGCATCAAAGACGGTGCAGCTCCCCCCTCTGCGCCTTAGAGCTCTGGCTTTTCCTCCCCAAAATAAGTGGGAATAGGTTTAATGACAGAAAATCTATCCCAGACAGGGAACCTCCCTCCTCCTCTCCGGGAACCAAGGCAGAGCCACTGCCACCAGCCTGGGACCTGCGGTTCCTCTGTACGCTGCGTACTTCTTAATTTGATAAACCGGGAGACGTGAAGGTCTGTTTGCACGTAATTAAAGTCCCCGCGATGCCCCTGGGAGCGTGTTTGCCGGCGCTGGCCCCAGTGGGGCGAGGGGCTGGCCCTCTGTCATCCCCGCAGCCCTGTCACTTCTGCTGGCCGGAGGAGCAGGGTGTCCTGGGTTTCCCTCCCTGCCCTTGCATTGCACTTCGTGTTTTTTAAGCCCTTCTGAGCTCTTTGTCCCTCCCAGGGTTTCGCACTGAGCTCTTGCTGTGTTACGCTGAAAGAAATGCAAAAAGAAGAAGGTGGGAACTGATAGAGTGCAGGGAAAAAAAAAAGTGTATTCATTAAAATGGCAAAATGACCCAAGTTTCTCCTTATCAATTCCCTCCTTAGGGCATTTCCAGTCCAGGCACGTACCTGTGTTCATCCGAGATGCTCCCACGGACCTGCGTGGCCCAGGAGCATCCCTGGGGCGTGTGTGTGTGTGTGTGAGTCTCCCGCTTGTCTGAGCAACGGGACGTTCATCACCAACTCCAGGGATAATTAACTCATTTTCCTGTATTTATAGAAAACTGATGCAGGGAGTGTTGGCACTTATCCCCAATGGGGCCACATTTGGCCACAACATCTTGAATTTTGGCTGTTCCTTGCAACACGGTGGCTTTGTCATCGTCCTCGCTGCCTGCTCATTAAGCCTGAAATCAGACAGCTCGTTAAGCCTGCAAGGCTGGCACCCCTGCCCAGGGGTGAAACACCGGCAGCTGCCTGAGCCAGGCTGCCCGTGGGTGCCCACCTCCGCGTGCCCCGCTCCTGCTTCTCCGCACGGAGCCGGCGCAGGGGATGTCTGCATCAGCATTGCCTTCTCCAGATGCCTGCATCCTCCTGAGCTAAAAACAGCGTAGCTCCCGGCTCCGCCGCCGGCGAGGGGAAATATTGCTGCTCCGAGGGGTCTGTGGCTGGGATGTGATGCGAAAACACGCTGCGGCATCCTGACTCGGCACCGCGGCGGTGAGAGATCCGTGGGGAAAGGCAAGGAGCAGCTCTCGGCGTCAGGGCGTGCGTCTGCCAGGTCCATTCCCGTCAGCTGGGACTCATCCAGACCTGGATGTGGGTTTTGCCTCGTTTCTCGGTACTTTTTAACCGCTTTTTCTTTTCACTGCTTGCTTGTTGGGTTGGTCTCCGGGGAGGGAGGGGGATGGAGGCGGTGAAGGGGCTGACTCTCGGGGGCACAGGGGGTGTGAAAACGAAGAAGGTGCTTGAAAGGTTGAGAGACCCCCCCTGTGCTCAGCTGGGACTGTTCACAGCTCACAGCCCTGCGAGTTGGAAGTATTTGCCCTTGAAATGTGAGTTGTCCCCAGGCTGGTTGTGCTCAGGGGAACTGGGCAATTAAATCAAGCTGTGGAGGAGCACCACGCTGCTCGTCACCCCCAGCCACCCCCCGTGTGGGTGTGTTTCTGCCTCCTCCCCCTCATCCTCCTGCTTCACCTCCCAAAGGCAAAGGGATGGAGGTGGGGAGCTGGTGCTGCCCAGGTCCTGGGAAGGTCCAGGCTCCTAGATGTCACCACAATCCTCTCCCAAGAGCCGCCGTCAGTCCCCGGGCAGCGTGGGACCCCCCTTCTCCCCTCCTGGCCACCCCAGGGTGCTCCCACCAGCGGCTGTGGAGCAGATGCTGGAGATGGAGGTGGATCATGAAGGTTTAACACAGACATGGAAAGTGCTGTGGGGTTTTTTAAAGAGCTGAGCCCTGCTTGCAAAACCCTTTTGGAAGGATGAGTCCTTGAACCGAGCGCGGCTGCCTCACCATGGGCTCAGCCTGCTCTGGCACGACCCCCTCCCAGCCGGGTGCTGGTGAGCAGCACCTTGTCCCATGGTTCCAGCCACCTCTCCCGCTTCCCAGCTGCTCAGTTGCCTCACAAAGAGCTAAAAATATACAGCTGGGCGAGCGATTGCTATAGCTACGGCAGGGGGTGAGCCAAGGAGGGCAGCCGGGCAGTGCCATCACGACCGGGAGGTGCGGCAGCTTGGCACAACGGGCAACGCAGAGGGGACAGGCAGGGACAGGCTGGGACTGGCAGGTGGCTGCTGGTGCCTCCAGTGCAGATCCCACCATCTCCCTGTTTCTCCTTGCCTTGAAGCTGAAGAACACAGCACAGCCCCTAAGAGGGGGTTCACTTTGCCGCTTGCGTTTCAGCAGGGGATGAGTAACGAGCAGCTCCCCGCATCTCCCCACTGCCCGGCCATGGAGGGGGACACCAACATCTCAGCTTCTGGCTGCCCCGAGCACTGGGTCGAGCCCCGGTTCACGCAAGCGGCGAGGGTCCGTGTGATCGTCACAGCCATCTTCTTCTTGCTGGCGGCGGGCAGCAACGCGGCAGTGCTCGGTAGCCTGCTGAGGAAGAGGAGGAAATCCCACGTGCAGCCGCTGAGCGTCAGCCTGGCGCTGGCCGACCTGCTGGTGGCGGTGGCGGTGATGCCGTTGGATGCGGCGTGGAACGTGACGGTGCAGTGGTACGGAGGGGACATCTCCTGCAGGCTCCTCAACTTCCTGAAGCTCTTCGCCATGTACGCGGCTGCCCTGGTGCTGGTGGTCATCAGCCTGGACCGGCACGCAGCCATCCTCCACCCCTTCTCCCGCGCTCGCCGCCGCAATGGGCTGCTGCTCCGCACCGCCTGGGCCGGCAGCGTGCTCCTGGCTTCGCCCCAGGGAGGGCTTGGTCTTCTCCCCATGGTGTTTTCCCAGGCTGGGCTGTTTCTGGAGAAGGGCTTCCCCATGCCGGCAGCCCCCACAAGTCCATCTCAATCCATGGGCTTCACTACCACCAGCTTGGCTTTCCTGAGCGTAGCGGTGTGGTTGCTGCGCTGGGTGCTCGGTGCTGCTTTGCACCTTCCTTCTAGCACCCGTTCATTGCAACACCATCAGGGGGTTACACTAAGGGCTGGGAAAAAACTTTCAGCAGTTCTTTATTCCTCATGCACGTGGTTCTCTTCTAAAAATGCATCGCTGCACCACTGCAAAACATGTTGGAGCAGACCAAGAAAAACCTGAGCAGTTCCTGATCAAAATAACATTTGGTATGGCCAGAAAGTGGGATTTCAGAGCTGTCAGATCGCATCCATCCTGGCTACAGCCTTGATGTGCCCAGAGCGCCCGTCCCAGCCCGACAGCGGCAGAGAGGTGCTCTCCGTGCACAGCCAGCAGCATCTGCAGGACTTAGTGCCCTGTTCCAAAGCCTCTCTGAGTTATTTCTTGGTTCTCCATTTCAGCTTTTCCTCTTCCACCTGCACACGGTCCCGGGAGTGAACTTCACCCAGTGCGTTACTCACGGGAGCTTCCGAGCCCACTGGGAGGAAACTGTCTACAACATGTTCACCTTCACCACCCTCTACATCACCCCCCTGAGTGTCATGATCGTTTGCTACATCCGGATCATTTGGGAGATCAGTAAGCAGCTAAAGATCAATAAAGGTGAGCAGGTTCCAGCCCTTTAATGTCCACCACGACTCCACAACTGAACCTGCTCCAGCCTGGAGCGTTGTTGGGTCTGTCCCCCACACCCTTTGAAGGGTAACCCAACTAAGGGGTTTTACACAAACTTCTTGGCCCCCCTCCCTCCTTGTTGTCTTCTGCTTCCTATGGGCCATGGACCAGTCCATGAGATGGTCTCCCCTCTCTGGCAGAAGCACAGTCATGGATGGTTGTGTTCTCCTGGTTTTCTCCCATCTCCAGCTATCCTTTTGACTCTCCCTGGCAGGTTTGATAAGAAATCAAAATGACCACATCTCCAAGGCACGCATGAAGACTCTCAAGATGACCATAGTGATTGTTGCCACCTTCATCATCTGCTGGACCCCGTACTACCTCCTGGGCTTGTGGTACTGGTTCCAGCCAGCCATGATCCAGAAGATGCCAGAGTATGTCAACCACAGCTTCTTTCTCTTTGGCTTGCTGCACACCTGCACTGACCCTGTCATTTATGGGCTGTACACACCCTCCTTTCGGGAGGACGTGCAGTTGTGTCTCAGGGGCATTGAAACAGCCATTACCAGGCACGAGAGACACAAACCTGTCTCAGTCTCAGAGAAGAACATCAAGGACGGTGCTGTAAATGGTGGGGTGGCATCAGGGGGCTCCAATGGGACAACTGTCAACACGGTCTGTTGAAGAGACGTACGCAAAAGGAGATGGGAAGCATAGCTTTGGGGGCTGCTTTGTCCCACAGGAGCATTCTGGAGACTGTCCTAAGGAGGTTTGCCACCCAGCTTTGGTGGGTGAGGGTCTCTGGCCACAAACCGGAAAAGTGTCTCCTGCCTGTACTCAGGGTGAAAAACATAGAGCAGTATTTATGGTCATTCCTCCATATTCTGGAAGCCCCGTGACAGCTAGAAAACCTTCCTTTTTGTACCCTACAGATGCTCTAGCCCTGATTATGGGATCGAGCACCTGCCACACTTCTAGCATCGACCTCAGGGAGAAGACGTGCTGGCTTGTCCATGGTCCAGGGCCACGTCTCCCAGGGTGGCCAATCTGTAAGTGCCCTTTGCACCCACCCCAACATGCAAGAGCTGCACAGATGCACAGTGCTATGTGGTGTCACCCTGAGAGGCTGCAAAGATGCAGCCACAAGCTTTTACTCTGTTTTCTCCACCCATTGTAGGAAAAGCTCTCTGAAAATTTTCGATCTCCTGGCTCAGAGCCTGCCTGGTTATCCCACGGCTCTGTGTGAAGCCCTGGGAAGGACTGAAATCTTTGGGGAGGGACTAATGCAGGGCCATTACTTCCCCTGGACATGGTGGGGAGGGAGAAGGGGCTGCGGGGATGGAGGGGCTCAGGCAAGAGGGGTACGAAGAACCACAGTGAGATGGGATAAGATGCGATGGGATGGGATGGGGTGGGATGGGGTTTCTTCTCCCTTTTGGAGACAGCCAGAAGGGAAAACAGTCCCTGCTGCCTTGTTCTGGTGTGCAGGGGTGGTAGGAGCACATCCTTAACTAGTAGCTCTCTGGGACACAGGGTTGACGGGGAAAGAGAGTATTTGGGGTAACCAAAGGGTGACACAGACCAGCCCCTCTTCACTGTCTTGACTGTCTCTGTCCCCAGTCCCTCTCCAGGGCACGAGCTGGCAGGTTTCAGACCGTGCACTGGGCTGTCCCCAGCAGCTGCCACCGGCTGATGGGAGCAAACCCCACGTTGTCTCCTCTTTGTTTTCCCTTCTCTGATTTACACGCATTTTCTTTACCAGGGAAGTGTTTGAGGCACCATCCCTGGAGGTATTTAAAAGACGTATAGATGTGGTGCTTAGGGACATGGTTTAGTGGTGGAACTGACAGTGTTAATGTCAGTTAACGTAATGGTTGGACTCGATGATCTCGAAGGGCTCCTCCAACCTAAACGATTCTATGATTCATTACCTTAATGGCTTGGCCCAACACCAGCACCTCCTCTCTGCGCCAAGCAGGGTGGGTGCAGCCACCCCACAGGTGAAACCTGGGATGTCCTAATGAGGAAGGTGATGGGAAGCAGCTGTGGGTGGAGGGGCCCATCACCACTTATGGGTGCCATGTGGGTGCTGATGGTCCTTGGCTGCACTGTGAGGGTAAGGGAGGCTGCTGGAGGGAGTTGGCTGAGCTCTGGTGAGTAAAATGGATTTTTTGCTTTTAACTGATGTGCCAGAAGTGGCTTGTGAAGGTGGAAGCCTCTTCTCTGGGTGTTGGTTGAAGAGATGCATTTGTTCAACTGTGTTATTACTTTCTGTGTAATTAGAAATAGTGGATTATTTCTTTGTTTGTTCTCTGCTGGTTGTTGTTAGAAGCATTTTTTGCTCTTGAAGAGAAGTTCGGTTTTGAGACAGGTGGGGTGGGATTTTTTTGGTTTTGTGAAATCTTTGGGCAGCTCAGGAGCTCTGGACTTGGCAGGAGGCAATTCTCTGGGCATTTTTGTGGCTACTACAGCATTCAATGAGCATCTGGATTTAATTAGAGTCAGAGAGCTTTGTTTTAAAAACAACTCTTGGCTTGCTGTGGTCGCATGTGTAGGGGAGCTGGGAGATTTTTCCCCCATTAAAGTAAATCTGCTTTGGGCACCGAGGGGGTCTGCTCAACCCTGTCTCCAAGAGGGGATGGATCCCCATCAGCCTCCCAGTGACCCAGCTAACAAATTATTAAAACTGGAGAGGTGGCAAGTGGTGTTTGCAGGTTTGCTGAGGCTGGGTGATGAGGACATAGGAAGCCGCGGTGCTCAGGGTGATGCTGAGCTGTGATGGGTGCTGAGCACTTGCCTGTCCCTATGCAAAGTATCATTTATGCTAAACATGCTGCCCAAGGAGAAAAAAATTCAATTAGAGCTGCAGGAGCCCAGGCTGACTGGTGGGGATTAGTGTGAGCCCTTTAGGAAGCATCCAAACCGCAATGAGATGCGTAATCACAGTTTGGTTTTCCTGGCCTCGTTCTCCTCAAGGTTAATTACTCAATACTAATGGGAGTGGGGCTCGCTGCTGCCAGGCTGGCTTGGCTAGACCAGTGCAAAAGAGTTTCTTATAAGGTGATGGGAATGGCTTGCGGTAGGGGAAGCTAATTTATTCATCAGAAACTCATTTGGTCTCTCTGTTCATATGACTGATGATCGCTAACGGGAGGCAGACCTTGATGGTGTGTTGGTTTTTCTGGCAAGCCTCAAATAAGCAGGAAAGTGTTACTGGTCTCCTGAAAACATTCTTCATCTGCTTTCGGCTGAATGGGAGAGAACAGGTCCAGCGTTGCTCACACACCTAAGGCCTCTTGTCCTCCCTTGCACAGCAGCAGGAGAGCTTGGAGAACTCCTCTGAGGAGCGAGGAGAGTGTTTTCCCTTGTGGGATGGACCCACCACCTTTACACCCCATGGGTATGGTGGAGCGCAGAAAAAGCTTTGGCTTTAGATGAAGAGTAGGATAATTGGGATGCTGGTGAGGACATGTACCTTGGTCCTTGGGGGAAGCACGGTGTGTCCATCGGGATGCTTGTAGGCACTCCGGTGCTGCTCCTTCTGCCCACCTCTTGATACCTTCCTTCCCGTCGCTGCTGCTCAAGGCTGGCATTTTGGGAAGCCCAGAGCGTGGGCAAGATGCCCAGAGACACTGCTTTTGTGATAGAAGGAAAATGTCACCAGCAGAGCGTGCTGCCAAGCTGTGCACTCCATGTGCGTGGGCAGGGGGGCCGAGCAGTCGGGCAGCACCACGCTGGGAGAGCCAGGGCAGCCCTTGTCCCGGTCACTGGGCATCATCTCGGGTCTGGGTCCTGCCCAGGCCTGGTTTGAACATCCCCGCATTTCTGATTCTGCATTTCTTAAATCCATTTGTACTTTCGAGAGCAAAAGACTCTTGTGTTGCTCACCAGGAGTGCAAAACCCAGACCCTCGTTCCTCCTCGCCCCAGGGGCTGTCCTGCTTTCTGCTGTGGTTCCCTCTCTCCCCATGTTGCCTCAGTCTTGGTCTCCGACAGCACCCGCCCTGCTCATCAGCTGGTTCCTGAGATCTCTCCATATATATATATATAATGTATGTATTAAAAATACTTATTTATATTTATTATCTGTTTCCCCTTATGGGAGGAAAATTCTCCCACTTCCCCAAAAATCTGTCCGTTTCCTCCAGGAAACACCAGCTGCCACGCTCCTCCTCGCAGTCACAGCAGGATCAGATTTGTCTGACTCAGTAACAGTCCCTTAATGCTAGCCACAGTAATGTAACGAGCATATTAATCAGCACAGGTAGCTCTATATTTTACAACTCCTCGACCTCACCCTGGGCTGCCTGTTTCAGACGCAGAGGTCCTTTGTTTGGGAGGAAATTCTGATTCGTTCCCCATTAGCATTTTTATAGTACCGTGCGTGTTCAAAGAGCCACGCAAGTGGCTTCAGAGGTTAACGCGAACCTCGGGTTAATTCATAATATTGTTAGTTACTCAGCACAATACTCGCATTAATTCCGCTGACCGCATCTCGCCACGTTGGGAAGCACATGCTGAAATCAGCAGGGAGCACAGAAAGCAAGCGTGGGAGTAGGGTGTTAAGGATTTGGCTGGGCTGCTAAGGTAGGCTCTGAGCACCTGAAATGTATTTATTTTCCCATTGCCTTCAATGGCAGCATTACCCCACTTTGCAGACGTGGAGCTGAGGCACCGAGGAGGCATCCCTGGGCGCGTGAGGGACGGGGCTACGAGCCCTGCGAGGGGCATGCGACGCAAGTCTGTCAGGACTCAGCCCTTACCTGCAGCCACCTCTTTTTCCTGGGTCTATTTAAACTGTTCACAGCAGAGAAAAGCTGATTTTTCCCTTTGATGCCTGCTGATTTAATTGCAGTGCATCTGCTGTGAGAGCCCCCGCAATACTTCTTGCTCTGGGGATGCAGCCTGGAGCAGCTGGTGCAGAAGCCCAGCCTGGGAACCAGCTCCCTGTGTGGGTGCTGTTGCCCCACGCGTGGGAAGAGAGCTCAGCTGGATGGCTTAAAGCCACGTCAAAGCCCAGACAGACATTAGGAGCTGGTGCTGAGCAGCCGCTCTGCGTTCATTTCTTCTGCTTACTCTTCAGAAACTCTCCTAGGCGAAGACACCCTAAGAACCGAGCCTCAAACCCTGGTGTGTTCCTCCACATCCCCTCCTTTCGTCCGACTCGCGGACTCCCACGTCCGCACCTTTCCCTGCAGAGCAAAGAGCCATCCCTCCCGCCCCGGCTGCCCACCCTCCTCCTCCTCCTCTTCCAAAGGGCCCCGATGCCCATCTGTTCCAAAAGATGTTTCCTTTGCAGACGTGCAAGCCTTTTAACAACTCAGTACCCTTTAGACAGCAGCAAATACCTCCAGATTTTTCTGGCTGGGACGTTACCTGTCCTAAACCGACACGTATATGGCACCCCATCATATAGAACGCCCTGAGGTGGACCAAAAATGGGCAAATATTCCCAGGAACCCCATGCATGTCTCAAACCCCAAGTTTCTGCATTGGAATACCCAGGAACGAGCTACCATAAAGTAGCTGAATCTGTTGTGCCATAAATCGTTAGTTTATGTATATTTTGATTGCAAATCAACACCGTAATTAGCACGTACATTTCTTGGGCTGAGGCAGCGCAATGTGCTGTAGCAGTGAGCATTATTAATGGGCTGTAAAAGGCAATGGGGAATTGGATTATAATGTTCATGTTTTGCAAGCTGTATGGTGAATAAATAAATGTGTTCTGGCAGCAAAATTAACTAGAATAAATGCTTCTAGCTCCATCCACCAAGAAGAGGGGTTGCTGTAAATGAATTTGTTCTCAGCCTTGAGTTAGAAAACCTGATTACCAGGTCATTATTTCTGGCAATTAGGTACCAGAGCAACATCAGAGAAAGAAGAGATTTTCTTTGAAATATTTAACGAGTAAGGTAGTAATCATAGGCTCATGTGCTGGAAATATGTGATTTTTTTTTTTTCTGTGGTTAGGGTTCACTGTGCAATGAAAATCTGCGGTCATCAAGTCTACTACTAAAGGCTCGACTGCAAGCTTGAACAGTGCCACATCTCTAGCTTTTCTTTGCCTAGAATCCCTGGGCTCTGCATCAGCTTTATCCCACACCCAGTCACTAATCAGAGGACAGCCCTTTGCTCCTTTCTCTGTTTCAGGTAGTTGCAGGTTGCTTTGTTACAACAGCAAATGCCAAGGGCTTGGGCAGGAGGGGGAGAGTGTTGCCCTCTTTGTCACACAACTGACCTGCGCCTACGTCTATGTGTTTTCAAACAAACCCCCAAAATGTCCTTCTTTACGATTAGAAAAGGTGAATCTGAGATATACTGAGGTTTTACACACTGGTACTAAGGCAAAGCCCTTCGCAAACAGTGTTAACTGCTGCAATTCTGACCACGGAAAACTCTACCTCCCTGTGAGAACTCGGCATGGACAGCCCATTTCACAAACGCAGTGTTGTGCAGACGTTGTCACGAGGAGGCCTAAGTGAAGTCTCCACTAAATTACCTGTAGTACAAGTGTTCACAGAACATAAAACACGTCCCTACCAGCTCTGCTGCCATTCTGCTCCATTTCTTACAAGTGTTTCAGGAAATAGCTGGCATGTTACTGCTAGTTAGTCCCTTTGTTCGTAAAGGGAGGCTGAAAATGATTCAATGCAGGCAAAAATGTTGAACCAGATCCCAAAGCCCAGGCATCCCTGACCCTAAAAAGCCTGTCAGGTGACAGCGTTAACCCCTTCACCCTCCTTCTTGGTGCAGAAAATACAAGTGGAAGGCAGTTTGACAGGAATAATCCTCATTCAGTATTGACACTGAAGGGCCCAAGTTTGTCTGATCTGCACGCTAACCGAGGAGAAGGCAGAGCACGGCTGAGAGCACAAACCTTGCAGATGTTTTACAGTGAGGGGAGAAACCATATTAGGAACCATTTAACTTCTTCCATTTTGGTGGTTGTTTTATTTCTTGTTGAATTCTTACAATCATTATGCTTATACATAAAAAAATCTTGCCCAAAGGCAAAGTTAGTTTTAAAAGTGATCCCATCCGCATTGACACGTGCTAAGCATCGCTAAATTCAGGTTTTGAAAACAAATTGTAAGACTCCCTGCAGGCCGCTTTGCCTGGCACACAGAAAAATCCTCCTTTCCAACTCGTGCAAACACACCTCAGTTTGACAGAGAATAGTTTTACACCTGAGCTTTCCCATGCTTAGTTTTCATTAGTTTTATCTAACTTTTTCCCCATGGACCCTTATCAATTGGTTCACGCTGAGCTGCACTATCCTGATGCTTTTCAGCTGTACTGGACGTCCTCGGGAATCACAGGAACACAGAAGTAAGAATAAACGGAAAGATGCCATGAGGATAACATACTGGTGACAGAACTGGAAAGCTCCCGGCACCTTTACTTCCAGAGCTCTGGAACAGATGCAGTGCATTGCAGACTGGCTGTTATCAAGGCACGTGGTGAAAATAACAGTTTATTATCTCGGGCAATTCATCTCTCCGAGTCAAACATTCTGTGCCAGTAGTAGGCGAAGGTTGGCGAGTTGCTGGCCCCTATCACTACCAGCAGCAGCAGGTACAGCAGCATCATTACGGCAAAACGGTGCGTGTACAACCAGGAAGACTGACTAGGCGGCCTGAAAAGGGAAAAGTGCAGGAATTCTGTCAGAGGTGCACGAATACCTTGGCAAAGAGTATCTTAGGTTTTGTTATTTAAAATGGTTAAGCTAATGCAATAAAACCAGCAAGTTGTTCCACAATCCCTGTAACCAACAAAGCCTGCTTCCCCCACCCCTTTTCCCAAAGTCTCCATGCACAATCCTGTCCTTTCTCCCCACGTTCACACCTTTCTCTGTGGTCTGGAGCTGGAACTGCCTGGCCCATACGCACAGGCTGATAATGCTGCCACTTGGGATACATAAGGGCAGAGTTAAAACTGCCCTGGTTTTCAGAGCTGCGTCCGTCAGGGTTTCACTCTTTGCGTCCTGCCGCAGACAGATTATTAGAGCTCTCAAAGATACCAAGTGCTCACAGGTCTGGTGAAAATGCAAATTTAGCTGAGCCTGGGAGTGTCAAAGAGACAGAGGCAACGTGACAGCGTAAGCCTTATTTCCACAGGAATCAGGCTAAAACCAAGTTCTGGCAGTGCAGCTTATCTTTCTTGCTTGTTTTCTGTTGTTTTTCAAAAATGAGCTGTGTTTATCTGGGCATTACAGCATGCTCATCACTCCGGATAGCTGAACTCTTACCTCCTGTGCTGTTTCTGTGAATACACTAACAAGTATTTAACTCGTAAAAGCTGATTGTTTGTGACAACAAAGTATTTCTGTGGTACATCACCCCCTTCACTGTTTTTCACTCTTGCTCTTTTTCTGTCTATTTCTTCTGAATCTGAATGGGAAGAGAAAAGGTCTTTGGGGGAACAGAAAAGCAAAAAAAGAGGCACAACTTCAAGCAACCACAAAAAAGCAAACAACCAACACCCACCCCTCCACCCACCCCCCCCAAGAGTGGGAACGAGATCACCAAAGACCTGACCTTGGGTATTCCCCTGAATCCCTCAGCATCCAAGAATAGACTGAAAAGTTTGCTTGAGGCTATACCACTCCTAGCCATCCCTGGTATGGATGGCATTATGGCCCAGACCGGGGTGATGAGGAGGCGGGTGCCCCACACAGTGCTCGAGGAGCTGCTCACATTAACAGGGGAAGAAAAGCAACAGCGAAGGACTGACTGAGCCCTGCAAGCAGGAAGCAGTCACAGGAGAAGGCCAATCTGAGCAGAGGCTTCCTGGGCATCTAATCAAGCTCGTTGCTGATACATTTGTGATGCTTCTGTTCCACCATCACAGGTGAAATGAGCAGGCATTACAGAATGTGATTTTATCATACTACTGAAACTGAGAAAAACAAGTGATGCCATCAAAATATTTTCTACCCCTTAAATACACTATTTTAAGAGAAGCTTCGCAGACAACGAGGCTGTTGTGCGTTTGCTGAGGAGTCAAGCAGAAAAGAGTCTGCAGCCAGTGTCTGCTGAAGGGTATCCACACACCGCAGGCTGCGCTGTTCAGAGGGCAGCGTACGTGCACAAAGCTGAAATACGAGAAGGGCAAAGTAAGCAATGAACTACACTGGTTGTTACTGCGATACTCGCCTTTCTTCTTCACCTGGCACTTTACATCCGGGTGGTCGATGATCTCGCAAACAGCAACGCAGCTAAGGACAGAGCCCAACGCACTTCGCTGCCAGCCAAGACCGTGAGGGCTATAAAGGAGAGCCAGGCTCAGGTCACTGGTAAGATAGGTACCTTCCCCAAACAGGGACGTCTGAAACGGAGCAGAAATACATCCTAAAATCCTGCAGTGCCAACTATAAGCAACACACAAATGGTCTTTACTTACAGACTGGCAGTTCTGTTTCTGAAGGTGAATTAGGAAAGGCTTTTCTGACCCGTGTTGGGCCTGGTCCATGCACTGGTTTTGTCCTGGCACAACTTCCTCAGGGTGGGGCAGCTGCCCTCTCCCATCCCTGAAATTAGCTGCTTGGCACAGCCCTTGGTGTGGACAGATTCATGCTTTCCCGGATTTGGACTTCGTTTGCCAGCCTAAGTATTTCATATCAACATGACCGCACTGCTGTCAGAGGCATTTCACTGATTTACTGAGACTGGCATCAGCCAAACAATCCAACCTCCACAAACAAGGCAAGGCTTTACTGGCATTTAAACCCACGCTTTACTAGAAAAGAGGGAAGTAATTTTCAGTTGTGAATTCCTTTCAAATGTAAATGTTTTAATAACTTTGAATCACAGGATTTGCCACACTGGCTAAAATGATTAATCCAGTAAGTCCACTGTACCTTGATAAGCCATTACGCATAAAGAACGTGGGGGGAAAAACACGGTCCAGGTTGACTGGAAGGTTAAGCAGCTGCTGTGTCAAAGCTGCTTTACAGGTGGCACAAAAAGACAGGAGTCCCGACTGCTTTTCCTTTGAAATAGGAATCCTACAAGATGTCTCCCTTAACCAGGCCATTTAAAAAAGGCTTCATTTGCAAGTACCACCTCAAATTTAGTTGATTTAAACTTGAGGCCAGGCAGAAATCTCTCGGGAACAATTTCTGTGTTGCATTATCGTCCTCCTCTGTGCACACGCACTTCCCAGCTGCAGGCTGTCAGACAGGCCAGCGTTTTCAGAGGCATTACACTCCCTTACAAAGAAGCGAAGGGCAGCCATAATTCATCACACTGGAGAAATGGGTTTTGCCTCCAGTTTTGAGCCTCAGGCTGCACTAGAAAATCCAACATGACCATCCACAAAGGCCTACACTGAAGTGAAAACAGCAGTCTAAGACCATCAGCACATTTCACACCCTTAAAGGAATCTGGGCCTATATTTAGGAAGTGTCACCAGCTGCAAGTGACCAACAGAAACCGGTGCCGATACCAGGAGCCTCACCCTGTTCAAATGGCAGTGCAGGCCGTTGTGCAGTATGGAATGGAAGTTCTCGAGGCGGCTCCCGTGGAAGGCATAGATGAGGTCCCGCTCTCCCTTGGTCTCGGCAAACTTGGTGTTCATTTGGTCACAATACACGATCTCAAAGAGGTAGTCCGGAGCAGGAACCGCAGCGCCAGACATCCCTGTGAGCTCCTGGATCTTCTCGTACTTAAACCCAGTAAGGAACAGAAGCGTTGGTTTACAGGGTTAGATTACTCACTGGAAATTCTGCTTACTGTCCCTTAGTCTTTCATATCGCTTTATCTATTCTGATTATGCTTTCTGTGTTAGAATTCAACGCTGTCACAGTTCAGAAGGAGTAAGCGGACAGTGACAATTCTGACTGTTTCTTGCTAGCACAGCTAAAGCCTAATTCTTCTTTCCACAAAAAAGCACCCTGAATTGTGATTATGAATTAATTGATGACGTAAGGACGATATCACAATTCTGCTTTAGCTACTAAGACGACAGATTCCCTACTTGATCTTGCAAGAGGAAAAAAAGTGAAAACAGAAGTTGTTTTCATCTTGCTACTAATCTCTACAACTATTTCGATCCCTGTTGTAGCTCAGCAGCCCTCAACCTTTCCATTTTTGGGGCAGTATGCAGAAGTACAAAGTTGTCTTTCTCAGTGAGAAGCAGGACCTGGCTCCACGACACGACACCTGAGCTGGACTCTCTTGGTCTACAATGTACAGGTACGTGCTACGTTAATGGGAACAACCAACTACAATCACTGCCCATCATCAACTACTGACAGTGACAACTATTTCTTCCAACCAGTGCTCCTGAAAATTTTATTGAAAAAAAAACAAAACCAAACTCTTTCTATATACAGAAAAAAAATGCATTTGCATTGAACTGTCAATCTCTCACAACAGCCAACAAACTTCTGGCAGGAGGAAATACTCTCTGAAAGGCGAGGTTGCCTTAAAAGACAAATTCTAATCCAAGGCTTTAAGAATCCAAAGCTTACCTCCTGCTTTTTAGTAGTTTGTATCACGAAGACCTTTGATGATAAAATCCAACTAAACAAATCCCAGGTCCTCTGCTCCGTGTTTGGAACAGACCGCAGCAGTTCCTTCAGGCTTGGCAGAGCGCTGGTATCTGCAAGCTGAGAATACAGGCGTTCAGCACAGGCTCCTTCTCCTCATTACGATTAAACAGAGACCTCTAGTGAAAACAAAACCATGTTTCACCCTGGTAGGCTGTCAACTGAAAAGCAGCTCCTGTTCTGAGATATAAACAATATATATAATATTTATATTTACCAAGGATATCTGTAAGGCACACATAAGAATAATCAAACAAGCTCCTGAAAGCAAACCACTCGTCACAGTGGGATAAACACAGGGGTTCTTCAGGCCATGTAAAACACAAACCCTTCCAAATTAATGTGAATCTCACGCAGGGAAAGCTCTTTGCAACACCAGATGGGATTCGGGAGTTTCCAAGCGTGGGTTTATCGCTCAGCATCCCAAAGGGGCTTTAAAACCTGGATCCCCTGACCGGATAAAGAATGAATTCTGCTTGATTTCTA